GTGTGCACGTTGGGGGAGTGAATGAGTGTGCACGTTGGGGGAGTGAATGAGTGTACATATTGTGTTGTTAAGCATTTTGAGTAGTCTGGTTGGGTAGAAAGGTGTTATATGAGTACAGTCCATTTTCTCGCACACTAATTTTTAGCTTAATACCTTTAAATTGGCTGCATTATAGCTGTTTTAAGTTCAGGGTTAGGACGAGAGTTTCTTTCAAATCTGTCCAACAGACAAATGAACACACATGCTCAAAAAAAATAAAAAATAATAAAACATATATGCTGCTTTACCTTTGACAGCAGGTGGTACTAAAACTTAATTTGGTACTAAACTTTGGCGCACTTGTGATTAACAAACCAGAGACAGAAAAGATGGCACTTGTTAAAAAAACAAAACATTTTATTTACATGAAAAGAAAAATCTACACCAAATTAAACACATTTAACTGCAGATAATAAAACTGCACATGTACTGAGCCAGAATCCTGCTCATTAACCATAAAAACAGTCATCACAGATGCTGAACTCAGTTTTAGGAGATGAGAGGAAATCAGTCAGCTCCGCCTGCTGCATCAGCATCACAACAAAAAGGAATGGGCTTTATTTCACATTTATAGCCTTGTTCACCTCAGTGTCTTAGACACATTCTTAAGACATGAAACAGAAATCTTCAAATCCCTCTAGAACCGCTTTAACAATTTTTTAACCTCCTCACACCTTATGTAAGTTTTTATTCCTATTTTATAAGAACTGCAAAACAAAATAACTTTTCCTTTTCGGACACAAAAGAAGTGAATGATGTGCTGTAAAGCAATATAATGCAAGTTGATTTTTATCCCATGTATTTTACTGACATTTCACAGTGTTATGTATTATTTCTGTTTAGCTGCCTCTTGATCAATCTGTAAACCTCATTTGAGCATTTAAAATAAATCTCCTTAAAAACATGAATTTTTTTTGTCTTCCTGTGGTGATTTATGAAATATTAGGTTGGAGTTAAACCTATAGATACATCTTTCTTTGACTTTGGGTTGAAGATATATAAAAACAGGATAAAGTTCCTCGCCTCAGCTGCTTGATGGTTTGCCAGAATCTTCTCAGAACCGATAGAGCGTTTCTGTGCAAGGCTCATTGAACTCTCGTATGCATGTTCTTGCCAAGGATCAAGCGGACCACAGTCAAGACTGTGGTCCACTTGATCCACTGGTACCCTACAGCTGCCTCCTGAGTCCTACTAGCTAACAAGGTGCAATAGGACATAGCTCATGTTGACATGTTGACAGCTCATCTCCTCTCTTTGCTCGAGTGTCCAAAACATACAGCCGCAGATCAGATGACACTATTACAAAGTCAATCATCGATCTGCAGCTTACTCCAGCTATCTGGTGCCATGTGCACTTATGAACACACTTATGTTCGAACATGGTGATTGTGATGGTCAAACTGTGACATAGACGGCCAACAACAAAACAACACTCAGGTTCAGATCAGAGAAGTCATTCCTCCCAATCACGCCACTCCATGTCACACTGCCACAGAATAAAGGAGTCCCCTCTGTCCAGTAGGCATTAACAACAGTCAGAGTCCATCCCACCACCCGAAGGTGTAGGGAAGCTAGTCTCTTATCTACAGGGGAAATCTTCAGTGCACAAGCAGAGCCGGGGGGGGGGGGGGGGGGGGGCATATGTAGACTAGACCCACACCATCTGGTGCCTGGCACCATGGGCAAATTCACATTGGACTTTTTCTCATTTAAAGACTAAACAAGATGGCAATGTTTATGGATGCAGTTGCTTTTGGCTCCCTGTTTTGGTGCATTTTTATTATTGTGTTGTTACATGAATGTGACACTGTGAGAGGACACAAATTTTCCTACACCCAATCTGAATTGAGGACTGTTGGAATCATGTGTAGGACAGAGGTTATGAGCAAGTTTAAAGTTTTTGCAACAGCCATCCAAGCCGGCGATCTTGAGCATCTTTCTATCTAACGCCAGATCCGTCATTCAAAAAACAGACAAATTTGAGCTATGGCTGACAGACAACATTATTCCAGACTGCTGCAAAATTATTTTTACAGAATCCTGGCTACACCCACTCATCCCTAATGCCACTGTTGAGCTTATAGGCCGCAGCCTGAATCGCTACAACCAGAATGGTGACTCTGGTAAGAGCAGAGGTGGGAGACTTTGCATTCACACACACTCACACAAAATGACTGGTGTACAAATAATGTTATCTACACCCAATTCTCTCCTGATCTGGAGGCCATTTCAATCATTTGTAGACCCTTCTGTCTGTCCTGAGAGCTAACTTTAGTAGTCATACCTGCAGTCTACATTCCCCTCGATGCTAATGCTGGCACAGCCTTCTTCTGCATGATGGCAGCACTAAACACATACAGGATAACCCAGAGGGAGCCTTCGTCACTGCTGGAGACTTTCCCAAAGCCAGTCAAAAGTCAGTGCTCCCTAGATTTGTACAATGCATACATTCCTAAACCAGAGGTGAGTAGATGATAGATCAAGTTTATTCCAACTTGAAGCGTGCTTATCAGACTGTCCCCATCCCTCACCTGGATTTGTCTGACCACCTCTCCCTGCTCCTTGTCCCTGCATATACCCCACTCAGGAGAACAACTAAGCTAATGGTTAAGACTGTAACAATCTGGCCAGAGGGAGCACCTAATCATTTGCAGAATTGATTCCAGAACAAAGAGTGGACTAGATTTGACATCCTGAGTGAACAGATGCTGTGCTGTCATACATCAGATATTGTACAGATACTGTTACTGTGAACAGAAAGATCCAGGTTTACCCTAATCAAAAGTCTTGGATGAACTCAGAGGTGAGGGCACTCTTGAGGGCCCGGAACTTTGCCTTTAAGTCACTTAACAGAGTTCTGTCAGTACAGCAAAATCTGATCTCAGGAGAGGCATCAAGGCAGTGAAGGAGAAGTACAGGAGGAAAGTGGAATCACATCTGGAGGACGACTCATATAGGTTGTGCCAAGGGATTCACCACCTGATGAACTACAATGGCAACTTGCCAGTTGCAGTCAATGTGGATGCCTTAGTTGAACTTGATTTCTTCTGTGCTTGATTTGAATAACCTAGACCTACTACATCATCAGCATCTTGATGATCCTCCAGTCCTCTACCTCTCATGAACCAGCATCACCAGGTCAAGTGTGTACTGAAGGCTGTGAGCCCTCACAAAGCTGCAGGAACAAAGTACTGGGCAAAGCACTTTGCACATGTGCAGACCAACTGACAGGAGTCCTAACTGGGATTTTTAATACATCCTTGTCACAGGCTGATGTCCCATCCTGTCTGAAGGCTGTCACCATCATGCCAGTGCAAAAGAAAATAATCACAAAGGATTTCAGTGACTACAGGCCAGCGACACTGACGTCTTTGGTCATAAAGTGTTTTGAATGGTATTCTATAGCACCTTATGTCCCGCATCCCCCAGAACTTTGATCCATATCAGTGTGCCTACAGGGAAAACCAGTCTACAAAAGCCACCCTCGCCACTACTCTCCACAAAGCCCTGAACCATCTGGAACTCCCGGGGACCTGTGTCTTTATGTTGTTCATTGATTACAGCTTGGCATTTAACACCATCATATCCAACATCCTGGTGGAGAAGATCAATGATCTGCACATCCCCCCCCCCCCCTCCATCTGGATCTATTCATCATGGATTTTTTTTGACCAACTGACCACAACTCGTTAAGTTATGCCAGTTCCGCTCCTCCACTCTGATGCTCAGCACCGGCCCACCTCATGGCTGTGTGCTAAATCCTCTGTATACCCTGTACACGCATGACTGCGCTTCCATCCGCCCCTTGAACTCCATCATAAAATTTGCCGATGACACCACTGTGATCGTCCTGATCATGGGTGATGATAGCTAATAGAGGGAAAATACATGTGTTGGCAGAGTGGTGCACCAACATTCTGGAGCTGAATACTTCAAAAAACAAAGTGATGGTCATTGATTTTAGAAGACAGAGAGAGGACCATGCTCCACTGACCATCAATGGGGCACGTGAGGAGAGTGTCCTCCTTCAAATTTCTGGTGGTACACATTACTGAAGGTCTCACCTGGACCACCAATATGTCAGCACTGGTCAACAAGGCACAGCAGAGACTCCACTTGTATGGATGTTGTGGAGGAGACCCCTGGGGAGAAACTGCTGGTGTCCTTCTATCAGACCACCACAGAGTCAGTGCTGATGTATTGTGCCACCATGTGGTTTGTTACTTGCTCAGCTGCTGACAGTAGGGTCCTGCAAAGAATAACCAGGACTTCAGAAAAGATTTTTAGCTGCCCTTTGCCCTTGTTGGAGGACATCACTAGGCCACGCTGTCTCAGCAGAGCTCAGAGCATCTCCGCTGACACTTTTATGCATATTATTCATTTTAAAGTTCGTTGTTGTCATTACATTGTGCCTTGTACTGGGTGTAACATTTGTTTAACTATGTGCAATACCCACTTTTGGATAGTACGTAGTTTTGTTCTACTTTTATTATTATTACTTTTACTGTGTGAATGGTATGAATGTAGGAAGGGGACATGAGTTTTTATTGTAGGCACCTTACAGGAGCTGCACTTATACTTTCGTCGTGATACATTGACAGTAAAAGCTTTCTGATTCTGTGTCATTTTGATTCTGTGTAACGTCCAGCCACTGCCAAGAAAATTGGTTCCAGATGCTGTGCATCAAGGTGAGTCCAACTATATCTAGTCGGTACTTCTCAACCTCATACACAAGCTCAGTCTTCTTCCTCACCAGAGAAATGTCATTCCATGTGTCAAGAGCCAACTTTGGTACATATGGGTCAAAGGGCCAAGGCTCCCTCCAGCAGCTACCACCCATTGGTATCATAGCTGACTCGTATGGCCTCTCCCGCAGCTGGAGAAGGAAAACCCATGTAACTAATTTGAGCTGAGCTCTACCAGGTCCCATAGATGCTCACCAGGTGCACGACGAGTTCCTTCACCATGCCTTGCTCCAGGGTGGGGCCACATTAGCAAACTGCTCTATAAGTTTTACAAAACTCTACAGGGTTTTTTATTTTTATCAAATACTTATAAATGTTACACACTGGAACTTAGCAAAACATTTTTATACAAATTGGTTGCATCTATAACAAAATGGACAATAAATTATGATTTATATCTGGCTAAAATTGATAAGCCGCCAATATAGTTCAATATTATTGATTTGATTTTAAACGAGGTGACAACAGATAAAATGAAAATGAAAAGGCTTCAACAGTGACTCAACACACCAGCTGAATACATGTTTTTCTTTAGTTCATTAATTTTACACAATCTGTCAAGTTGTTTGGCTTTATTGTATTGATCTTTATATTAAAACAATAAGGAGGCAAGCGACAACAGTTGTGTACAAAAGAAGTCTTTGATGCAACTAAACTGTGGAGTTTAATTCCTCAATTGTCAATTTTTGTTGTTTTTATGCAAATTTTGTTTCTTTTGTAGTTTTTGAACAATATTTTCATGATCACAACCATGATGTTTGTGTGAGATCAGTGGCCTAAATATATTTTCTTTTGTTTCAGTGCAGATTCTTTATTCCCCAAAGAAAAGAAAATGTTCTAAATGTTTAAAGTTTATTCCTCAGCAGCAATATTGCAGTAAAAAGCTAAAATTATTGTGCACACATTACAAGTCCAAATACTGAGATGAAATAAAAAATATAATAAAATGTGAAGAGTAAAACCCTGAATTTTATTCATCCTCGTGGCTCATTTCTGTGAGACAGTCCACTGGTTTGTGTTCCTTTGGCAACTTGTTCTAAGTGTGTTTTCAGACCGCCATGTTCTTCATAATGGTGTAGTTTAGAGTGTTTGACACTAGAGCCAATTCTTCACAAATCAATGGGCACCAGGCGCCGAGTCCCCTCAGTCCTCTTCTCACACCTCTGAGTCTTTGACCCCTGACCTCCATTCATCAAACTTTCTTCCTCCAAAGCACCGTGGGAGCTCAAGTCATCTGTCTTCTTGTCACAGTCATACCTGCCTCCCACCAGCCTGGCTGCCCTCAGGTTCCGTCAAACACTGACGCTGACATGTCGGCAGGATGCTGGGCGACGTTTGATGCGGGAACGCCGAGGTCTGGACTCGTTCTGACAGCTGCACAGAGGGCCGAGCAGCAGCCAGAGGTACAGGATCACACAGGCCCAGCAGGATGACATCTTCACCCAGAAGGTAGACCAGCAGCCGTGTGTGAAGGTGGTCTCCAACACTGCTGACTCATAGCTTCAAAAAGGCATCAACAGTTACAAAAGGAAACAGATAAAATCATCCAAATATCAAACTGACGTTACTGTCTAACCTGAACCAGTTAGTGAGGGTCATCATGACATACAGCGAGGCCAAGAAGAAGACAAAATGAAAGAAGAAGTAGCTGTACGCCACCCTCTGGGTCTCATTGTGGATGACCTTCTGACTGCCTTTGTCTTCATCATCAACCACAAACTCCTCTTCAGCTGGAAGAAAAACACCAACATGTCTAATCAACTGCTAACATGCTCATATATATGGGGTGCCGTTTGTAAAGTCACACAATCGAAAATTAACAGCAATATTTTGGTTTATTTAGGCTTTCATAAGAAAAAATAGTTTTTTTTTCCAAAGTCATATTTTCACCATGTTATTCATACATTTATAAATGTTATAGTTTGAAACTAAATATTTAATTTACAAGCCAAATATTTAGTTTAATAATCAAACACTTAACTTGCAAGTTAAATATTTAGGTCTGAGCTAAATATTTAGTTAGCAAATTAAATAATTATTTTGGAAATTAAAGGTTTATCTTGGAAAATAAATATTTAGGTCGGAGCTAAATATTTACGGTACTAAGCAAATTAAATATTTAACTTAGAAATTAAATGTTTAGTTTGAAAATTAAATGTTTAGTTTTGAAAATAAATATTTAGCTTGGAAATTCAATATTTAATTTACACCTAAATATTTAGTTCACTAACTAAATATTAACTTGCAAGTTAAAAATTTAGTTTGTAAATTAAACATTTAGCTTGGACATAAACATTTAGTTTGTAAACTAAATATTTAGTGTAGAGCTAAATATTAGCTTGCAAGTTAAATATTTAACTTAAATAAATATTTAACGTGCAAGTTAAATGTTTAGTTTGTAAACTAAATATTTAGCTTGTATATTAAATATTTAGTTTGGATTCATGACATTCATAACTGTATGAAAAACATGGTAAAAATATGTCTTTGAAAAGAAAAAACTTTTTTTTTTTTTTATGAACCCAAATATTGCTGTTATTTTTTGACTGTGTAACTTTACAAATGGCACCCCATACTCACAGGGACATTTTACCCTGGTAATCTGAACAGGAACATTAAACCCAATTTACTTTTTTTTTTTTTCCATCTGGGAGCTTAAACTTCAAGCTGTCTGAGGGGGTTGTATCAAAATAAATTTATTTTAAAACATGAAAGATTAGTTTCTCTCTAAAAAAGAACATATAATATGATAGGCTTAATGGTGAGACTTAATATGTTCACTGCTTTATTTGGGGAAAAGGGAGGTAGGAGGAAGACATCTCCCATTTGAAACCCATTGAAATATCAACTACAGTATCTTGTTCTAAATTATAATCATTCTTCTTGTGGATTATTTTTAAATGGTCCACAATATGTATTAAAGAGTGAAATAACATCTTGGTGAGTGTGTACACAAACCTTCATCTTCTTCAGGACAGCAGAAACAGCAGGTTGCTTTCTGGAACTCATAGCGATAAACTTTGATCATCCAAAATGGACCAAACACCTCTGCCAAGTAGGAGGCTTCGTTACTGCAGGGGATGAAGATTTGAGCCGTTTAATCTCTAAAACAAATACATCTGAGGGTGCAACATGATGTCTTGAGCTGATAGCCACTTTGTAAGGGTGTATCCCAGCACTTTATGATCTCATGGTATTACCAAAAGTTGTATTTTTCTATAAGCCAATGAGGGGGACACACCCAGCCTGACTTTCTGTTAGGTTCTGTAATCATGAGAGGGGCTCAATGTGCTTCCTATTATCTATCACTGCTTAACAACTGCTCTTCTTTTTCTGAAAATTGATTCACTCCATTTAAACATTTTTATATCTAACTGTATTAGGTATAATGGTATGTAATTATATCCGATTTTCTATTCTAGTGTTAAAATAACTTTTCCTTACAGTTTAATATAGTTCAAAACATTTGGAACATATTACTCAATATACAGTAATATAATTCAGTACAATAGACAGTAATATAATTCAGTACAATAGACAGTAATATAATTCAGTACAATATACAGTAATGTAATTCAGTACAATAGACAGTAATATAATTCAGTACAATAGACAATAATATAATAACCCAGCAGCAACATTTTGGAAAGTTTGATGCTGCTAGAGCTCTGACGAGAGTTAGGATAGATCACATTTATTCAGTTTTAGCTGCTTTCTATTGGCTCCCTGTCAGAATTTAACATCTTAATTGTAACATACAAAGCTCTCAACAACCAAGACCATCTTATATTAAATATCTCATGGCTCCATATTTTCCAAACACAGCACTTGGCTCCCAGACTTGTGCTTTCTAGAGTTTCCAAAAATGGCAGAGGTTTCAGTTATCCATCTCCTTACTTGTTTATTTAGTTTATTTATTTATTTATCAAGCGCCAAGTCACAACAGAAGTCGTCTCAGGGCACTGAACAGGAACATTCATATATAAATAATAATTTATTATTATTTATCTGAGGAGCAGACTGCTTTGGGCTTAACTCCATCACAGAACTCTCGTTTTGAGCAAGCATGAAGGCGACAGTAGAAAGGAAAAACTAGCTCATGAGTAAGAAACTTTAGCAGAACCAGGCTCAGGACAAGTGGACCTGCTTCGACTGGCTGGGTTTGAGAGGAACAGATACACAATGGCAGGTCAAGAATCACATGTGATTCTTCACTTGAGCAACCGATGTGCAGTTTTTGTCAATGAGACTGACACATTGTCGACTTTTAAAACTAGACTTTGTCTTTCCCTTTAGAAAAGTCCTATACTTAGGTTTGGATTAGGTTTCCTGAACTATACTTTACTCTTTAGACTTAAGACTGCTGGAGGACAACCTGAACACATCTCCTCACTCTGCTGCTGTCTTTACTCTCTGTTCTCTCCTGCCACGTTCCTTGTGATTTTCTTTTGTTTCTGTTCCCATCAAAACTACACCTGGACAATAGAAACTACACCTAGACCAATGATACTACACCTGGTCCATAGACACTATATATGGACCATAGGTTCTACACCTGGACCATATAAACTACACCTGAACCAAAGAAACTGCACCTGGTCCATATAAACTATGTCTGGACCATATAATCTACACCTGGACCATAGAAACCACACTTGGACTATAGAAACTGCACCTAGACTATGTAAACTACACCTGAATCACATAAACTGCACTTGGACCATATGAACTACATCTAAACAATAGAGACCATAGAAACTACACCTGGATCACAGAAAGTGCACCTGGACTATA